TGATCTGTGCAAAAATTATTAGATCACCATGGAAATAGTTAACTGCATTTCATTCCACATTTTAGCTCTTATATTATATAGTTTCTTTATACTTTCACCCAATTTCTAAGCAAAGTTAATATTTTAAATCGAAGTAGTATATATATTTTTTTTCATTTTATGGAACCAGTACTTTTTTCCCAGGAAGGGGATAACTAGTACCAAGTAACTATTTCATATAAAAATTAGATGTGGTATGATTGCCAATGTCGAATGAGACAACTCTCCACGTGAGACCAAATAACATAGAATTTAACAACTATAAGTCACCGTACACAGCCTTCAACAATGAGCAAAACCATACCCATATTCTGATTTATCCATTAGGAAATGTGCTATAGTGAGCGAGTGTTTCATCTGTTTGCTCATCCATCTACAAATTAACCCACAATTAAAGGTTGATTGGACTTTGCCTAAACTTTCAAATAATCTTCAGTATCTGTTGACATTGTGTACCATTTTTTTCACATCTGAAGGTTTGGATTTTTTCATTTATTACATCTTCTTAACATGAAGGATAGGCTGGTTCAGCTGATATGAACAGATTTAGTTAGAGCAGATTCTGCATTCATAAATCTTGCAATTTGGTCAATCTTCAAGGACTGCATCAATAGTTCATTCAATTTCTATTTTATCCTCTAAGAAGAGTTAAAAGCATAAAAATATCAGATCTCATTACGTAAATAAATATTTTGTATTGCATGTATAAGCAAAATCTATTAACTCAATCATATTAAGGCTTGGTATAACAAGATTTGACAATAAAAACAAATAAAATCACATAAAAACAACTAAAATAATATAAAACCAGATAAAACACAAATCTTGTTATAGCAAAGCCTTATAAAGTTTACTTAAAAGCTATTGTTGTAATATATTAGTGTCTTAAAGCCAAATTTAGTTTGAATTCTTGTTAATGTTATGAAAATTTTGTCATAATGAGATCCAACAACTAAAAACAAGATTAAAAACAAAAATATTCAAACCAACCTATCCTTCATCTGATGAAATGGTGGTACGAGAAGCTTCCTTCCCAAGTTATTCAAAATATTAAGGTCCATTCATTACAATTGGGAACCCCAAAATTTTATTATAATAGAATAGTATACACATTGCCATTAGTTACAGAAGATAATCTGAAAGTTTCAATGAAAACCTCCCAATAGTATATAAGCTGTGGATGAGAGATGATGATGGACAAACAGGCAGACAAATCTTCTCAAACAGCCCATTTCATGATTGCATCAAGTGCAGAAGATCATGGGATTTGGGTCAAACCATTGAATTGAAAATTGATTTTTGATGCTTCCCTGCTAAGCATGCAGCATTTAGGAGTCAGAGCAAAGACTGGTCGGTTGTAAGTCAGAATAATTCGTCCAGCTAAGGTGACAGGTCTTCCTGTGGGCATTGTAAACCAGCACACTAAAAATTCAGCTCAGCGCACTGGTCTAGTACAAAGCAGGATCTCTATTCATATCACATTATCATATTATTATCCTGAATATGCATTTAATTAGCCATCCATTCCTTCAAAATAAAACTTATTTTACTGGTTCCTAATTAATCTTGGGTGGGTTGATAATTCTTAAGCTGAGTACAATCCTCAAAAAACAAATCTTAGAATATTTCCTTAAAATATGAATAATGATGATTGAGAAAAAAACATAAAAATCAATCACATAAAAATGAAAAAATAAAACAAACTTCAAAAACTGTGTAATTATTTTCACTTGAGTGACCTCAGATGCTGAATAATGCATTTATAATATATAAACAAAACCAATAAAGTAAAGCGACAGCCATAAATTTTCATAAATGTACAGAAAGTGGTGTCGAACCCAACCAAATAACCCAACATTTTTATTTTCAGTCGCCAAGTTTATATTGCATCAAAAACTCAGTTTAATAGGTTTTTTTTTTTAAATTCCCATTACTGTTTGGCCATCAAAGTCCTACCTATTGATTTCTAACCAGCAAAATTCATTTCACAAAGCACTTGTAAGACTAACAGGTACATAACTTAAAAAATTATATGTAAACTGATGCAAGTCTTATGGGTACTTTGTGAAACCATATAGCATACCTTTAGGACCCATCAACTAACAATAATTTCATAGTTTTATTTTACATCAATCCCAGTACAATAATTAAATGCAGGTAAAAATAATGAAAAAATATTCATAATTTGGATAATTCAATACAGCATTAAAAAACAAAATTTGTTAACAATTCATTCTTATTACAAGACTAATGTCTACAGATTTTATTACAAAATATAGCAACAGTTCATCGGATGGTTTTCATCGTCTGATAATTCTACCATACAAGCAGCAACAGTAACACTTTCAACTGTAAAAGAAATAAAGTTAAATTTTAATTCTTAATTGTTAATATTAAGATAATCTTACAGGTATATGATAAATTTTGAGTGACAATTTTTTAATCAAAGAAACAGATATCAGTGTATATAAAAACAATTTGTTTACTTATGTTTTCTCAAAAATATATATTATTAAAAATGTGCAGTTACTGTAAAAATGAAAAACCTTGATACACCAAAGTAACTTTTCAGGACTTGACAACTATCTGAACAATCGTTTTAAATATCGAACAAATTCAGGAGCTAATGATAAATTGATAAACTCTACCATGTTCAAACTCACCAGAAAAACATAAAATTAATGTCTATTTTGTTGATTGGTTGTTTTATTTAAACTTACTCCAAAAATTGTTTTCTCCAAGATAAAATATAGGAATAAATTCTTTTGAAATTTGTAATAAAAAATGCAAGATTAAATGAAAGGAAGTAGTACATCTTTTTTTTATGACCACACTGGTTTTATCTTAACATTAAATGTTAGGTTATCTCCCTTTCATCTCTCTCATTCATATTCACAATCTTCTGATCGGGTATAACATTTTTAAAGAGAGATTAAATACTGATTTTCTTCAATTGTAAATTAGAAATACATATATATTGAAATCTATTTAGGGACATTCATCACAAGATAATAAAAACACATTTAAGTTGTATGTTGATGAATAAATTCTCACCTTAAACAGCTCTTATTACTATCACAGCAAGTAACCCAATGGAAACCTGATGCTAACCTGGAATATAAATTTGGTCAGTTATTCATAACTTTTCCACAAAAGTCTTTATTTCAGCGTAATAAATTTAAAATAAGATAACAAAAAAAAATATTATGGACAAAAATATTTGGTATTCTTAATTATAAACTCATGGTTTTATATTTATACAATGAAAAAATCAATCTGTATTTCATCAGTGTAAAATTCTTTTTTTGGTACTTAAAACCTTTATAAAATTGATGTCAAATACTATAAAATTATTCAAAAATAGCTTAATTACCTACCAACATGTTAACAGTATCAGATATTTATAATTTTCTGTAAATTCAGAAGTTATTGCGAGGTTTTTATTAATCCAAATAATGCAACTTGGTGAGTATTGCAACAATAACTCTCATTTTGATAACTGAAACAGACCTTTATGCAATTTTTTTTTGTTATCACAATAATTAACTCAAAAGTCCATTCATGAAAAATCGCAATAATAAACGCTCACAATATTTCTGAATTTACAGTAACAGATTTATTGAAATTCATTTGCACAAGGTCAATTTCTATCCGACGCAACTCACTTGATACCAAAGGCAGAAAACAAATGTAATGACGAAGATATCCTAAAAATCAAACACTGATAGAACAGAACCTTAAGGATGTAGTTAGGTCAAGTTTAGGAATTTTTGTCAGATGTTTTGACTACTTGGGTTTTTTCCTACGATACAGGGTAAAATATTTTGCCCCATATCACCCAATTTTCTTTTCTGAGAAGACTTCAATAGCTCATAAAAATGTCATTGCCAAAATTTAAGCAAATTCTAGATTTTTTTCCTTATGATTTTGATACCCAAATAATGCCAATGCTAAATATAAGATAAAAGTCTGAGTCATCCTTTTCCTGACATTTTTTTAAAATCAAATATCTCAATAAGGGGTTTCATAACCTATCAATACTTTTTAGCTTATTTTGTTCCTTAACTAATGCTCTTCTGACTTGTAGTATCAATTTTAAACTTTTAATTTTTTTTAATTTCACCTAACTACATCCTTAAGAAAAAAATTATAAAATGCCTACAATATAATTACCATAAATTTTGTGGAAAATTCAAACATACCTCCAACTTTTCATGGTAAACTTCAGACTTTGGTTGAAGATTTAGTTGACCATCTTCTTTAGAGCTGCTCTCCTGGCTGCCAAGGTGACTGTCCTCATTATCTTATTTTTTTTTTTATGAATACTATTATATACATAAAAAAAATATCAGATGCACTTTCAAGTAACCCCCCTTTTTGAAAATTTCAACAAATCAATGTAGTGATCCATGATTTCTCCCACCCTGCATATCTATTTTCTAGAGCTAGTATACATCTGATATTATTTTTTTTTATATAAACATGAATATCCAAGTATATAAAAAGCTAACACTAAGGAAATTTCAAGTATGTGGAGTTGAACAGGGGTATAATAAATTACCTCCCTTTGACAAAAACTTCACCCTATTAGGACTCCACATCCTTGCTATATCTAACAAAAATACAAAAAACAGTAATATTAAAATTACACAAAAAAATGATAACACAGAAAAGATATATACCTTACAATTCAGGAAACCCAAAAAATTTATAAAGAAACATTTATTTTCTTCTTTTTTTTTTTCTTTTTTTTTTAGATTATCCATTCTTAACTTACTGGAAGTGTTTTGACTAGACAAATAAATGTCAAGGCAATAATGGACATGAGTAGATATTACCCATAGTTTTAATGGAAAAAAGAAAGAGAAATTTTGAAATTTCAAATACAAGTTTACTTACAACTTCCAATCTAGTTGAAAATGGAGAATCTTTACACATTTTTTTTTTTTTTTTGTGTTGTAAAAAAATTATAAACTTTTTCTCAAACATACACAAAAATTGTCTAAATTACATTCTTTACTGTTACAGTTATATCACACAACCATTTTATGCAGCCACATTTACCTGAAAAAGAAATATACATTCTTAAAACATATCTGTCAAAACTATATAAAAATTAATACAATAAAGAATAATAAACTAGACATTACATTTATGATGCATATAACATTTATTTTACTTTGTTTTAAAGTGATTAGTTGACATAACTTTTGAACTATCAATCTTTATTAGCCCCCAAAAAGGATGAAAAACAAGTTGTTAATTGATGCCTGACAAAGGAGTAGGTTTGATAAGGCCCTAAAATGGCCCCCTTATTTAGCTTAAATTTAGAATTATGATTTATTGACCAATAGTACAATGAATCATAGCTAATACAGTGACTAGATAGGAAATAAGTCTATTTGTTGATAATTGACGTTCCTGCGTTTTATTAATGACGTCACAAATAGTACTCGTTTTGATTTTCCATGAAAAATCAATGAAAATGGCTAAATTTCCATTGATTAATAGACAGGAAACATAGAGCGCATACGTCGACAAAAGAGATCTTTAAAATAATGTTTGTAATGACATTTCACATGTCTAATTGAAATATTTAGTTTGTCGACGCCTGCCCTCTATGTTTCCTGGTCCTAAATTTGGCTAAAATCAGACTGATTTTGTCAAATTTCGCCAAGATCCCTTATTTTGACCTAATTGGGATGTAAAAATGAAAGCTTTAAAAAAAATTTTTGACGGAAATAGTTTTATATAACTTTCTCGTATGTTCATTGTTGAAGGCCATACGGTGTCCTTTAGTTGCTTACATCCACATCATTTAATCTCTGGTTGACAGTTGTCTCACCGTCAATCATACCACATCTTGTTTTTATAAACGGGAACAATTTCAGATAACAATTAAAGAACCTTAGTGAGCGCGCTCACATACCCCACGTCCCCACATTGTCATTGGAGAAATAAAATAAGTGTAAGAAAAAAAAATTGAATCATAATTTCCTGTCAATATGCACATCTACATAGTATGTCCTTATTATCTACAAAGTTTCATGAAATTCTGTTGTGTGGTTTCAGAGGAGTTGCGATGACAAACTGTTGCAGTAGTACATTAAAGCAAATAAGTTCAAAGGGGCGTAACTCATAGAAAAAAAATTGAATCTTAATTTCCTGTCGATATGCACATCTACATAGTATGTCCTTATTATCTAAAAAGGTTTCATGAAATTCTGTTGTGTGATTTCAGAGGAGTTGCGATGACAAACTGTTGCAGTAGTACATTAAAGCAAATAAGTTCAAAGGGGCGCAACTCCTAGAAAAAAAATTGAATCGTAATTTCCTGTCGATATGCAACTCTACATATAATGTCCTTATTATCTGAAAATGTTTCATGAAATTCTGTTGTGTGGTTTGAGAGGAGTTGCGATGACAAGAAACAGGACTGACGGACTGACGGACGGACAGACGGACGGACGGGTCAAAAACATTATACCCTTCGCAAAAAATTTGCGTGGGGTATAATAAACAGAGATCATGAGATTTCCTAAATTACAATTCTTAACCTTCCCTTATTTATCTTGGTACCTCCTTCTGGATTATATATACAATTAAAACTTAAGAAAACATTAAAATGTAAGATTACATCTGTATATAGTAAAAATCTTGGGCATTAACATGCTCTTGGAAGAATAGTTCATAAATCTTTGTATTGGTTCTTACCATAAAAGTCAGCTCAAATGTCCATTCCCAGCTTCAATCCTTACAGACAAGCTGATATGCTAACCTGAAATATAAAATGCTTAAGTTATTCAAACTGTTTAAAAGAATCACTTTTGGTATACTGTATGTAGAAACGGGTTATATGTAATAGATGTTGACAACATATGGATAAGACAGCAATCCAACAACCCAACAAACTTTTATGTAAACAATTCAGATCTTTTAACTTTTCTCATATAATGATAGATAGAATAATATGAGTAGACTTCTGAACAAACTCTTATTAACCTTCAAACCAAGAGGACATAATTTTTTAAAATAATTTTCATAATACATTTGAGATTTTTTTCTCCAAAACAGGAATAACATACGTGTACTTACCTATTCATTAGCTGTATTAGGCCACCAAGTCTTATTCCCACACCATGAAGACATGCCAAAGAAAGAACCTAAAAACAAATTATAATTGACACATTATATATTTTATAAATCAATTCTCTGTTACTGGTAACCTAAACTTTACTAAATATTGTTCTGATTTCTTATTGCATGTACACAATAGTATAAAATCAACACCAGTTTGTTCAATCTATATAAAAGATGGAAAAATCAAAAATAAGTCAAAGGTTTATGATTTGAATTTCTACTTCACAAAAATTATTAACCTGAATAATTTAGTCATAAAATTTTGTTGATCTACCATGGCTGCATTACCTCACGTGGGAGAAAATTGGACACGAAGAGGGATTGAATTATGCCAATTAAAAAATAATCTGCATATTTTACAGAGTTATCTCCCATTGAATGGACAAATCTTGCTGTTTCAAATTGTACTTGTCTCCCCTTGAATTATTCCTATCTCAGGATTTACTACTGATACTTTAATAAAAAAATCTTCATGTTGCTTGTATCTTAAAATACTAAAACTGGTAAAATAGTTCATCAAAGGTGTTTTGCATTCAGAAGATCAGAAGGTTGCTGCTGTCTGTTGTTTTAATATGCACTTTTTATCACGTTTAAGAGATTGTATAAAAATTGTTTGGCTTATATAAACTTGCCTTCTTATTTTCTTGATAATGCCTCAGACTTGGTTGAAGATTTAATTGACCATCTTCCTAAGAGCTGCTCTCCTGGCTGCCAAAGTGGCTCTCCACATTATCTTACTTTCAATCTATTTTTTGTCCAATTGTATTTAGAAAATAAAGTTACATAAATAAAAAATATCAGACGCACTTTCAACTAATAACCTTTATGAAAAATTTCACCAAATTATTTTTAAAGACCCAAGATTTCTCCCACCCTACATTTCTATTATCGAAAGCTTTGCTTACATTTTTTTTTTATTACAGAGCTCTAAATAATAGTCATTATTAGCTAGTATACATCTGATATTAAAAAAAAGGTACATAAACATGAGCATCCAAGTAAATAAAAATAAACACTGAGGGAATTTCAAGTATGTGGAGTTAAACAGGGGTATAATAAATTACCTCCCTTTGACATAAATTTCACCCTGTTAGGACTCCACATCCTTGCTATATTTAACAAAATACAAAAAATAGTATACTTAAAATTCAAAATTAGTTTAATAACAAAAATCCAACACATTTCAATTATATATTTAGTGCTGATGGGGTCATGGTGGTCGAGTGGTCTAAGTAGTTCAACCACTGTATCACTAGTGTTAAACACCAAAAATCAATCAATCTACTTTCTTCAAGATGTTCTTCAACTATGCTTCTTGTAAAATATTCCTAAAAAATGTTATGATTTGTTACAAACTCAGCTAAAAATAACAAAAAGGTGGAAAAATATATATGTAACAATTTGCAAAAAAATACATTTAAAAAAATTAACATTTTTTTCTTTTTCTTTCTTTTTTTTTTTCTTTTTCTAGATTCTCCATTCTTAAACTACTGGAAGTGTTTTGACTAGACACAAGTATTAATAGAAAATAGAAAGAAACTTTTGAAATTTCAAATACAAGTTAACCTACAACTTCCAATCTAATTGAAAATGGAGAATCTTTACACATTTTTTTTTTTTTTTGTAAAAAATTATAAACATTTTCTCAAACATACACAAAAATTGTCTGAATCACATTTTTTACTGTTACAGTTATATCACACAACCATTTTATGCAGCCACAGTTACCTGAAAAAGAAATATACATTCTTAAACGTATCTGTCAAAACATGAAAATTGAAACAACATTAAATGAAAAATGATAATTAACTTACTAGAATTATGATGCATAAAACATTTCCTTTATTTTGTTTTAAATTGATTTGCTGACATTAATTTCAAACTACCAGTCTGTATTAGCAGAAAACGATGAAAAACAAGTCATTGGTGGATGTCTGACATATTTCTTTTTTCACATATTGTTACAGGCGGGCGAGTAGGGTCATCTGTATTTTTATTTCGGTGTTGATTATCAATAGTGTTCCTCTAGATAGTCTTGTTTTAAGTGCAGCTGGCCGACTACAGCATAATCATATAAATAAATGAATCCAGTGTAAAAAAATGACTAGTATTCTTGTCCAGTATGTAATTATTTCAATAAATAACTCGTAACAGCAATAACATAGTTAGTATAAATTAAAAGAGTAAGATGCTGGTCTTCAGAACCCCATTTGTAACTTTATACTTGGTGAGATACATGCAGGACTCACATAACTGAAAATCTACTATAACTTTAAAATGCGAACAAAGTTCTGACTCATGGCACAAAATGCTGTTATAAATCCATAAAACTGCAAAAGTTTGCCCTTATTTCCAAAACACAAGTGATATGTTACATATAAACATTAAAAATTTCACACTCGTAGCCTAATCACCTACGTTTCTATATGACGTCATTGAAAACAAAAAAATAGTTCCTTAACAGTGCTTGACAAAAAAATTATTATGGTAACTATAGCATATTATTCAGTACCTTTAACACTGAAAGGAAAGCCAACAAATAAGTTGATCCTATCTCAAAATTACTTTATGTATTATTCTACTGTTTCCCGGAAGTGACCATTCTTTGGAATGGCAACTTCTAGTACATAAACAAGGACTTGCCATGATCGAAGTTAAAGGGAAAACTACCCCAACGATGTGTCAAATAACATTCAGAATGAATGAATAGGTAACCACACACATATTTTATAAAACCCTTACCCCATGAAAGATTGAAATTAATGTGGTCTCGTGAAAATTGTGATCAAAATGCCTGATCACTAACAGTTGAATTTTACCGCTATAACAACTTTGTCAATTTGATAGATATTATATTATGTTTCATGATAGCTGCTAAAATGGTACAAGTTATGAAAGTATTCCATTTGATCCCCATAATTCAAGTTTGCCAAAGCTGTCTAAGTGCATAAGAAATCAGCTAAGACTGTTATTTTTCAGGTTCACAGATATTGATCCCAATAAATTTTGAAATATTAAATGTGTTGTTTCTTTATCACTATTGGTGGTACCCATCTATAACAGTATATTAAGACATTGGCTTTCTTCTTTGAATTGTTTCAGATTTTGTCATGTTGGACCTTTTATAGCTAACTATACAGTGTAGGTTTTGCTCATTGTTGAAGGCAAAGGGTGACCTTTAGTTGCTTACATCCACATCATTTGGTCTCTGGTTGATAAATGTCTCATTGATATACATACCACATCTCCATATTTTTATATACATGTATGAGGACAACTTTAGATAACAAAAAACAGAAATAATAAGATTTTCTAATTATAATTTTTGACTTCCCTTATATATCTTGATACCTCCTTCCAGATAATATTTAATGAATGGCTATTATTTATTTTGATTTTATTGAACCATAAAATTAATTTTTGACTCTTCACATTGAATAATCCGCGAAGCGGATTATGTAAAATGTGAAGAGTCAAAAATTAATTTTATGGTTCAATAAATTCAAAATAAATTATTGCCATTCATTATAAATAAATTTCTATCAAAAATAAGTCTCAAAGACCTTTTTATATTTTTTATATTAACAATAACAACGTACACACATGTTGGCGTATGAATACACAACGTCAGAGTGGGCGTGTCGCCATAAAAATTGACAACATTGAAAATAAAGGTAATTCTTTCAACCAATCAGAAGACAGTAAATACACCAAATTTATTTATATTCAATTATAACTAAAGAAAACATTAAAATGTAAGATCTACATCTGTGCAAATAAAAATCTTGGATGAAAAGTTCATAAATCTAAGCATTGGTTCTTACCATAAAAGTCAGCTCCAATGGACATTCCCAGCCTCAATCCTTATGGACAAGCTGTGATGCTAACCTGAAATATAAAATGCTTAGTAATTAAAAAAATTTAAAGGATCATTGTTTGTATACTATATGTATATTAAATAGAAATAGTCTATAAACGTGTAATAGATGTTGAGAACATACGGATTAGACAGCAATCCTGCAACCCAACAAACTTTTCGTAATTACATCAGATCCTTATATTTACTTATATAATGGTACTCATAAAAGAAAGAGTAGACTTCTCACAAAATGCTTATAAACCTTCAAGCTTAAGAGCACATACTATTTACAAATACTTTTCATGATTCTTTTTATATTTTTTCTACATACGGTATCAGGAATATCATACTGGTACCTACCTTCATATTAGCGGTATAAGACCAACAAGCCATATTCCCACACCATGAAAACATGTCACAGAGGAACCTAAAAATAATCAAAAATAGACACATTATATATTTTACAAATCCATTTCTCTGTCAACCTACCTTACCTAATATTGTTCTGATTTCTCACTACATGTACACAATAGTATAACATCAACACTAGCTTGACACAGATATGTCTCGTCTGTCGGCAGAAAATTAAAAAAAAAAAACCAATCTGATGGACAACATTGCTAATTAATTCAGTCGCTGGACCATTATTTAGGGGGTAAGGCCTAGATATACATATCAAGCTGATATGTACTGATAGTAATGCAACTTTATACAAAATATCATTGATCTATCACAAGTAGTTCCTATTAAACTGACTTAAGCAGAAAACTTAACAATTGTTGACAACTCCACTGTCTCTGCTGGAAAAGCACCACCTATGCCTTGCTTTCTGCGACTTTTATTGCAAGCGAGACATTTTATATATAAGATGGAAAAACAAAAAAATAAGTCAAAGGGTTTTGTTTGGAATTTTACTGCCATATTTTACAGAGTTATCTCTCATTGAATGAAAAAATCTTGCTGTTATATTGTACTTGTCTCCCTTGAAGTTTTATTCCTATCTCTGATTTTACTACTGATAAATTGATAGAAAATCTTATTTATCTGAAATCTGAAAATATAAAACTGGTAAATTAATTCATTATGGTGTTTTGCATGCAGAAGATCAGAAGCTTAGGGTGTTGTCTATTGTCTTAATATGCACTTTTTATGAAATTTTTTAGAGA